GATGACCAAAGATAAGATGGTTGGATGGCATTACCGACTCAATGGACATGAGTTTGAGCAAACTTCGGAAGATGGTGAAGGACAGGGAAGCCTGGCATGCTGCAGTCCATGAGGTCACAAAGAGTCAGACACGACTGAGCGACTGAACAACAAAACACACATATACAAAAAGGAGAGCGTGTAAAGCTCGTGTAATCTGAATAAAGTGAAAGCATTGTATCAGTGTCAGTATCTTGGTGTTGATATTGTACTGTGGTTATACAGGACAGGGATATAGAGTGAAGGATATACAGGATCACTCTTTTCTTTCTTACAACTGCCTGTGAACTTGGAATTTTCTAAAACAATCAAAAAACATAACCAAAGTAAACATTATGAGTAGTTCCATTAGAAGCTAACAAAACAATTATCCATAAACTTATTCTTATCACCTCCCAAGGCATCTCTTTGGTTAAGAAAGGGAAATTTTCATTTCTCATTAGACAAAGGATACAGTCTGGTTTTTCCATGGTTTGAACATAAGGTTTTCTTGTGAGAATTAAGCTAGTAAAAATAGAACAGTTTAAGAGAGTAGACATTAGCCACCTTAAATGCTTCCAAAATAAAGTAAGCAAAGCAGCACATACTTAAAGATAACCAAAGAGTAGATACTTAGAAAGGTGGGCCTTCAGTGTATGTGTAAGGAAAAGTATTAATTAATTTTTTGGAGGGTCATCTCCAAAGAAAGAAACTATTACTACCAGGAAGGGTGTCTGTATTGTTCTAGAAAAGCATGAGCCCAGAGCAGAAAGCATTAACCTGTCCTCATCCCTGCCCTGAAGGGAGAGTACCTTGTCCTTATAGGAGTATTGGCCTGCTTGGCAGTTTGAGTTGGCAGAGATGCCACTTACAGAACATGCATTATGTGTGAGGTACTTTACCTGCCTTGTCATTAATCCTCCGAACAACCCTATATAATAGTTATATCCATAATGAAACTAAGGCTGAAGACATGAAATAACTTAGGACTTCCCTGGTGGTCCAGTGGTTAAAACTTCACTTTCCAATGCAGTGGGCACGAGTTCGATCCCTGGTTGGGAAAACTGAGGTCCTATGTGCCTCAGAGTATGACCAAAATTTAAAAAAGAGAGAGACTAAAAAACTTGCCAGAGATCACACAGCTACCAAATGGCAGAACTGGGCTTCAGTCCGCTGCCTGGCCACACCATTTCCTGTCCACCACACTGCCTCTCTTGAAAGGCAGTGAGCACGCAAAGCTATTGTGCTTAATGCCATAGTCCTAGAATCACCTCATTAACTCTCTTCACTCTTCTTTCTTACTTCCAAGTTTTGATTTCTCATATAGATGTTCCTAAAAGGGGATCCAGTGTGAGTATTTGTCCTTTTGGCAGTTGTGTTTCTCACTGTACATGAATCGACATTGTGATTTTGTCATCAGTCTATTTTAAAAATGGTTAATAGACATGAGTTCTTCTATGGCTGATAATTCTGGGTGTACTGGAGAATTCTGTTACTGTAAAAATATACTGAACTTAACTTCCAAGGTATTCCACCACCCTAAGGGGCCTCAGAAATCAGTCTTCAAGATGGAAAAATGGTGTTACTTATTTAAGTAACTCCCAGGCTTACAGCGTCAGTTATTGGCAAAGCTAAGGTTGAGAACTAGGTCTCCTATCTGTTACTCTGGTATAACCATTCAAGTTCTACTTATCCTGTCGGAGCACCCTATTTCAGGGCCAGATCCAGAAAAATTGGTTTACATGCTCAATTAACGTCCTTATTTTCTGTACTCCCTCTGCATTTTGGGTACTGGTGGAATTATTTTTGTTAGCATTATTTGTAGCTTTATTATGAGTCCACAATATTCTGTACATAAATTAATGAATGGATACTGAAAAACTGTATTGTGAATGCTTAAAATGTTCATCATTTTCCATATTATGTTAACTGGATAGCTATGCACCACTGGCTCATAGAACAGCTTTTATATATTACACAGACTATTACCTATAAATAGTTGTATTCATTAGGGTATTTCCACCACCCGTTATAGTACCTGTCACAAGTAGGTTGTCAATAGTTATGAGCTGGTTTGGATTGGATTCGATTGAATTAAATTGATTGAAAGTGGCTCTAATGTGTTTCAGCTTCTAGATTCTGTAATTTATTTAACACCCCTACTCAGATAGATGTTTAGACAACAGCATGATTGTTCACTGACACATCATTAGGTCCAGTTGTCTGTGCCTTAGTGTGAAAGACATCCCTAATCAGGTAGGTCAGTTCTGACAACTAAGATCTTCCTGAGGCCTTGCAGGTTAGCAGCCTGGAAGTCTGTGTTCTCTCTCTATTTTCAGCACTCGGAGGAGCCAGGGAATCTCAGCACATGAAAGTAGGTATCATGGAAGTATCAAAAATATGGCAGCGCTGGTTCAAACCCAGTAGGTAACTTTTTGTGGTTAATTATAAAACCCGAAATATTAATAATGAACAGTGATATTTCCTTGTGAAAGTGTTAGTCGCTTAGTCGTGTCCAACCCTTTGCAACCCCGTGGACTGTAGCCAGCCAAGCTTCTCTGTCCTTGGGAATTCCCAGGCAAGAATACTAGAGTGGGTAGCATTACCTTCTCCAGGGGATCTTCCCAACCCAAGGATCAAACCTGGGTCTCCCGCATTGCAGGCAGATTCCTTACTGTCTGAGCCATCCACTCGTACTACTGGGCCATGAGACTTTTAGTTGTCATCATGTCTTCTATACAGTGTTGCTAAAGCAGGCAAGATGATGGTTGTTGAAATTTCCATTACCTTCTACTAGTTCAAATCAAACAAGAGACCTGCAATCAGAGCTTTTAGCTCCCTGTGAACATCTCCTTCCTTGCCAAACAAAAATAATAGCCACTGTTAGAGGTGCATTTAATTACATTATCCTGTTTGTCAGGTCACCTGTGGAGGTCACTTAGGACATTTTAGTTTCTTGGAACAAGCTTTCTTTTTTTGCCTTAAGGATTGTTGGCATCCAGTGTCTCAAATCAATTTCGTCTGATAGCTTTGAGCAAAGAAGGAAACTGATAATTAGTTACTTCTTTCTGTTCTGTACCAATAACTTTTCACAGATATATTGGAAGCTTCTGGTTTTCATGTCATTTTTGTGGAGAATTTTTTGTTCACGTATTTTTCCTTTAAAATATAATATCCAAAATGCCTGACATCTGTGTTCTTTTTCATTGTGTTGGTTGAAGCAAATTTAAAGTTATCCACAACACGTTGTTTTCTAGAGCATGCATCTTCAGAGTCTTCTGAGATGGTTGCTCAATAACATGTCATGAGGAAAGTCCAGATTTGCAAAGCATTTGTCATTTCTTTCTGTGCTGCTAATTTGTTTAGTAACCATTTGTTTCTCACACTCTTGTCTGCCAAGCTGTAGACATATATGTACATGCCAGGTCCATAGATCTGTAAATCCATAAATGTTAATAATAGTACTAGGACTTACTGGTGGTTCTGTGGTTGAGACTCTGCACTTCTGATGCAGGGGGCATGGGTTTGATCCCTGGTCAGGGAACTAAGATCCCACATGCCATGCAGCCAATAAATAAATAAAAATATGATGAATGTAGATAGTTTCAAAATGTCATATTACTAGAAAATTATGTTAGGGACTTCCCTGGTCATCCAGTGGCTAAGACCCCACGTTCTCCATGCAGAGGGCCAGGGTTCAATTCCTGCTCAGGGAACTCAATCCCACCTTCTGCAGCTAAGTGTTTGCATAACTCAACTAAAGATCCCACATGCTGCAAGGAAAATCAAAGATCATACATGCCACAATTGCCAGCACAGCCAAATAAATACATAAACACTTTTAAAAAGAAAACTATGTTAAATAATATTAATAGCACTAAAAGTAGGTTGTGAAAAAGATGAAAGTGAAAGAGGAGAGTGAAAAAGTTGGCTTAAAGCTCAACATTCAGAAAACTAAGATCATGGCATCCGGTCCCATCACTTCAGGGCAAATAGATGGGGAAACAGTAGAAATAGTGGCTGACTTTATTTTTCTGGGCTCCAAAATCACTGCAGATGGTGATTCCAGCCATGAAATTAAAAGACGCTTACTCCTGAAAGGAAAGTTATGACCAACCTAGACAGCATATTAAAAAGCAGAGACATTACTTTGCTAGCAAAGGTCCATCTAGTCAAGGCCATGGTTTTTCCAGTGGTCATGTAAGGATGTGAGAGTTGGACTATAAAGAAAGCTGAGCACCGAAAAACTGATGCTTTTGAACTGTGGTGTTGGAGAAGACTCTTGAGAGTCCCTTGGACTGCAAGGAGATCCAACCAGTCCATCCTAAAGGAGATCAGTCCTGGGTGTTCATTGGAAGAACTGATGTTGAAGCTGAAACTCCAATACTTTGGCCACCTGATGCAAAGAGCCGACTCATTGGAAAAGACCCTGATGCTGGGAAAGATTGAGGGCAGGAGGAGAAGGGGACGACAGAAGATGAGATGCCTGGATGGCATCACCAACTAAATGGAATGGGTTTGGGTGGACTCTGGGAGTTGGTGATAGACAGGGAGGCCTGGTGTGCTGTGGTTCATGGGGTCACAAAGAATTGGACACGACTGAGTGACTGAACTGAATTGAAAAGTAGGTTGTATGCCTTTGGTATCTAGATTTTCTCCTGAAAGTCCTAACCTAAACTCTTTGGTCCTTTCTTAAATACACTGATGCTTGCATAAGGATGCACCTCTTTAAAAGAAATTTTCCATCAATTCTCAATAAAATTCTGGAATATTTAAGGTAATCATAGAAAACAGTCTAACATGTTACTTGCTCAAGGGATTTCCTACCTGTGTAGTTGACAGTAATGATACTCATTTGAGTCTTTGTTTCATAAAATATGCTTTTTTTTTTCATTAAAGTAAGCTTGCTTTCCATCTTGAAAGGGTGAGACCAAGTTTTGCCTTAGGTACTAACACCTGTTCATTTTATTTCAGGGGTACAGACATCAGGCATGGATGGGAAGAAATGCAGTGTATGGATGTTTTTACCTCTTGTTTTTACCTTGTTTACATCTGCTGGATTGTGGATAGTGTGAGTATTCTCTTATTTAAGGACTCAGGTGTAATGTAGATAAAAAAGCAAAGTCTTGATAGCACAGTCCCCCTTTTTTCTGTCTGCAGGCTCCATACCCTCAGAGTCAACCAACTCATAATCAAAAATATTCAGGAAAAAAAAATTCCAGAAAGTTCCAAAAAGCAAAACTTGAATTTGCTGCTCACTGGCAACTACTTATAGAGCATTTTACTTTATCTTTACAACTATTGTATTAGGTATCATCAATAACTTAGAAATGAAAGTATACAGGAGGACGTGCGGAGAGTACAGTTGACCCCTGACCAACAGTAGTTTGAACTGTGAGGGTCCACTTATACGTGGATTTTTTTTTTTCAATAAATACTACAGTACTATGTGGTCCTCAGTTGGTTGAGTTTGAGGATGTGGAGCTGACTAGAGGATGTGAGAATCCACAGATTCTGGTATCCACTGCTTATCCTGGAACCAGTCCCCTACAAATACAGATGGACAACTGTATATGTCACATTCTTGTGAATGTATTTGTAAATACTTTAAAATAATGTTTGCTAACTCAACCTTGCTGAAGTCCCCGTTTCCCTTTCTTTATTCTATCACCCAAAGTAAATAATAAGTATGAGTAATAAATTATGCAAAGCAGATATTGAATACTGGTGATATGGACTCATTATTTGCAAGATTTGCTAATTTGACACTAACATGCTACAGATTCGGGCTTCCCAGGTGATGCAGTGGTAAAAAACATCTGCCTGCCAATGCAGAAGACTCAAGAAATGAGGGTTCAATCCCTGAGTCGAGGAGATTCCCTAGAGAAGGAAATGGCAACCCTCTCCAGTATTCTTGCCTGGAAAATTTCATGGACAGAGGAGCCTGGCAGACTCCAGTCCATGGAGTCACAAAGAGTCAGACTCAGCTGAGCACACATACATATGTATATTCAAACATTTGCTGTTTAACAGTCATTGAGTATAAGGACATCCTTATACTCAATGACTGTTAAACAAGCAAATATGATTTAATGTGGCTAGTCCAGTAAAATTGGGAAACAGATAATTCTTTTTTTTAAATTTCTTTGTTTTATAAATTTTATTGTTTTTTCTTCATAGATACTTTATAGCTGTGGAAGATGACAAAATTTTCCCATTAAATTCAGCTGAAAGGTAAAGTTTATCTCTGGGTAACTCTTTGTTCATCAGTAGATTTAGCAGAACTTTGCCACTGGTAAAGTTAAACTATGCAAAAGTGACCATGCATTAACCTGAGCTTCTGGGTTTTTTCTGTCATCCAGGAAACCTGGTGTGAAGCATGCACCATATATAAGGTAACTTGATAATTCTCTTCTGATCTGCTGTATCTTAGGCAACGTTAGCAGGGTGTATTAGTTCTGTCTCTTAGGACAAAGTATCCTAGACTGGGTGGCTTACAAACATCAGAAACTTATTTCTCACATCTCTGCAGGCTGGAAGTCCAAGATCAGGGTGCCAGCATGGTCAGGTTCTAATGAGAACCCTCTTCCGGCTTTCAGACTGCTGTCTTCTCACTGTGTCCATGCATGGCAGAAAGAGGACTAGAGAGCCCTCTGGGGCCCTTTTATAAGGGCACTAATCCCATTCACTGGGGCTCTACTTTCATCACTTAATCACCTCCCAAAGGCCCCACCTCCTAATACCATCACATGGGATGTTAGGATTTCAACATATGAATTTTGAGGAGACATAGACATTCAGTCCATTGCAAACAGTCATAGATTTTACTATAGAAATAATAAAACATTTCATATTTTTCAAGTATTGCAGGTGATGAACCTCCTGCAAGCTGTGTGTTTAGTCAAGTTATGAACATGGCAGCATTCCTAGGTAAGAAGAACATGAAGAATGCCTTACATGCTTTGGGGTATTTCTTTTTTATTTTAAATTCTCCAGAAACTCATTTCAAAAATATGGTGAGCTTAGTTGATAATTTGGTGTCATATCATGTCAATATGCTAAAGTGGGCATCTTTTGTTTTGAGGGTCATTTTTTTTCATAAATCCCTTTACATTCACCTGCTTACCTTCCATTTTCTTTTCTCTTTACCATCTTCAATCATTACAGCCAATTCTTGACTTTATTTCTTTTGCTGCATGAAATAATGTATTTCATGTGCCATAAAATCCTGCATGAGAATATAATATTGTGCAACATGTTTTCTTTAAAAAGAATGTTTTATATATTCTTTCACTGGCAAGCATGAAAAATGCATAGGGCCTGAGATAAATATTGATGTGTATAGACATCATCTTTCAGTCTAAAGGTTGATATTATCATTAGGGTCATGCCCTCCCCTGTGCCTTTACACATATCAAGCTGGCAAATGGGAACACAGGTTTATAAAAAACAGAAAGAAACCTTTTGTACTCATGTCCGGCCCTAACTCCCTTTTCCTTCAGGGACTAAAGCTCTCATTTAATATCCTGTCCTCTATGTTCTCTGAGTGCTTCTCTCTGGGGGTTGTGGGAACCAGCCATACTCTCTGTCTTCCTCCAAATCAGCCTGGTTGTTCGGTCGCTCAGTTGTGTCCGACTCTTTGTGACCCCATGGACTGCAGCACACCAGGCTTCCCTGTCCTTCACCATCTCCCAGAATTTGTTCAAGTTCATGTCCATTGAGTCAGTGATGCCATCCAACCATCTCATCCTCTGTCACTCCCTTCTTCTGCCCTCAATCTTTCCCAGCATCAGGGTCTTATCCAATGAGCTGGCTCTTCGCATCAGGTGGCCAAAGTATTGGAGCTTCAGCTTCAGCATCAGTCCTTCCAATGAATCTTCAGGGTTGATTTCCTTTAGGATTGACTGGTTTGATCTCCTTGCAGTCCAAGGGACTCTCAAGAGTCTTCTTCAGCACCACAGTTCAAATTGAAGAGCTCATCTCCTCCAGGCCAAGGACTCCTCTGTGTCTTTCAATAGGTTAGGACTTCCCTGGTGGTCCAGTGGTTACGACTCCATGCTTTCCATGCAGGGGGCACGGGTTTGATCCTGGGTCTGGGAATTAAGATACCATATGCCATATAGTGTGTCCAAAAATAAAAGAAAAAGGGGTCAACCAGTTATCACCATTGGCATTTTGTTGGGTCCAGCCAGTGACAGCTAAATCCTTCAACAGCAGTTTTCTGGACATGGTCCTTTTGGATACTGAGACTTACACTCCAAGTGAGATCTAATGATGATGTTATTACTGAGGGAGTATTTGACCTTTGCAGCACCTGTCCCCCAAAGAGGTGGCCTGTTATTTCATCTATTTATAACTCTCCTCCCCCCCAAAAATTTCTGCGGACTCTTACATGTTCCTTTTAAATTTTTGCTTTAGGAAAAGGGAAGACCTATAAAATTCCCTGGAAAATCAAGGGAGATGGTTGGTCCAACCTGCACCACAGGCAGAATCTTAGTTGGTTCAGAAGGCAGAGAAACATGGAGAATGTTCCCTTGAGACCCCAGGGGAAATGCTAGTTAGTCTGATTTTGTCCTCACTGCCTTCAGTCTCCATGTTAGTCATTAGTTGTGTCCAGTTCTTTGAGATCCCATGGACTGTAACAGCCAGGCTCCTCTGTTCATGGAATTTTCCAGGCAAGAATACTGGAGTGGGTTGCCATTCCCTTCTCCAAGGGATCTTCTCAACCCAAGGATCAAACCCGTGTCTCCTGCGTAGGAACTCAGTACTCACTCTTTTTTCCTATTCTTCATACCATTCTTCTGAAAAGATGTAATAAATGTACTCATAATAAGGCATAAATGACCTCTAAAGGAGATATTTGCATCTAATAGAACACAAAGTCCCAAGAGTGACTCTGGACTTGCAGGGTCAGAGACCTTTTCCAGTCCGTCAGCAATCACACCACGTAGGCAGGTTGGTACCAACTCAAACCATCATCCCCACGGAGCACAGCAATAACAGTAATTAATGACAGCCCTTAATATTCCAGGCACAATGCTAAGTGCTTTGCAAACATTACCTTTTAATACACAGGAGACTTCCCTTATGAGGAAATGTCACAGGATGTCTGTCCTCCATGGGGCTTTAAAGAAACCAGTGAACATGTTAGAAGCCACACATTACCCTTTTTGTATTCTTAAGACAAATTGATATGTCCCAATCGTCCTTAGCGCAATATCTAAAATATGCCAGTTCTCCCAGCTCACATATTTATCCCTTTACAAAGCTGATGATTAACTCGTTATAAAAGCAGTTCTAAAAACACAGTCATGAAAACAAGTTCCCCTCTTGCAGATGACATCCGTCAGCATCTGATTCTCCAGTCCTCCCCTGCTCCATCAAGAAGCAATTAAGTTTTTACTAGCTTTTGCTCTAAGGTATTGCAGCATCCAGTGTTTATTATATTTCATCACTTTTAGTGCCATCTGGTAGACACAAAGTTGAGTAAGATTAGTGTTCAGTGAGAGTGAACCATCTATTATTTACTTATCTGGGAGTGAAAAACAATCATTTTCCTAATAATTCTTGCCTTAAACTGTGGTTGCTTTTGTCTCCCCAGGCCTGTCCCTTTTAGATCTCAGACTATCATTTTGGACGACATAACTGACTCTGAGAAACAACCTGCATGCTGTGTGCTCACTCAGTTGTGTCTGACTCTATGGACTGTAGCCTGCCAGACTATTCTGTCCATGGGATTTTCTAGGCAAGAATACTGGAGTGGGTTGCCATTTCCTCCTCTAGCAGTTCTTCCTAACCCAGGGATCCAACCTGTGACTCCCGTGTCTCCTGCATTGTAGGCAGATTCTTTACTACTGAGCCATGGGAGAAGCCCTAAGAAACAACGAAGACCTCATATAAGTCATTGCTTGTTGGCAGCCATACAGATTATAATTTACAACCTACAAATGAGTTGGTGTGGTATTTATTAAAATCAGTTAGCAAAAATCTTGTGTTTTTTGATGGACCAATCAAAGATCAAATGCTCAGTGATTTTCTTTACAGAATTATTTATATTCTTTGTCCTAAATCTGCACTTTTATGATCTAAAACACATTTTCTTTTTTTTAATTTATTTATTTATTTTAATTGGAGGCTAATTACTTTACAGTATTGTAGTGGTTTTTGCCATACATTGACATGAACCAGCCATGGGTGTACATGTGTCCCCCATCCTGAACCCCCCTCCCCCTCCCTCCCCATCCCATCCCTCTGGGTCATCCCAGTGCACCAGCCCTGAGCACCCTGTCTCATGCATCAAGCCTGGACTGGTGATCTGTTTCACATATGATAATATACATGTTTCAATGCTATTCTTTCAAATCATCCCACCCTCGCCTTCTCCCACAGAGTTCTTTACATCTGCGTCTCTTTTGCTGTAAGACACATTTCTTAATAGAAATATTTCTGCCCTGGAGAGGTTGTGAGGATAAAGTTAATAGCTAAATGATTTCGGTCACCTAACAGCAGCCTCTCTCCCTCCTTCAGCCAAAACGTATTGATTGTTATGTTCTACTACTGTCATAAATAGGTATTATTGATGCATAAACAGTAAAACTAAACAAAATGAAGAAGAATTTGGCCAGGCACCAGTCTACAACTGCAGTGAAGAGCTGCTATTTTGAGTTTGAACTTGAAGAACCCTATCAGCTTCAAAATTAAAAAATCTAACAAAGAAAATAAGCAATTACTCTCTAATATTTGTATTTTTTAACAGAGAGATAAATTAAAAAGAGCATCTGTATAGCAAAGAACTGTTGTAAAGTATCAAAAACCACAGACGGATGGGTTTTTTAAATCTTTTCTAAAACTGTAAGTAAAATCTTAAAAATTTAAGGAAACTAAAAAAAATCTGTTGAGCAGAATGTTAATGTGGTAAAAATTGGTTTGCATATATAAAGATGGCTTTGAAATGGCCCTACTGCCCAGAAGACCCTTTCAAGAAGCTATAATTAAATCACTACTTGGTTGTAAGTGGACTTCATAACAGATAGTCTGAATCTGCCTCCATTTAAACCTCTTAATAAAATTGTTAACAGACAAGAAACTTTATTATTTTCACAACCATAAAATTTCAACTAGATCTTATTTTAAAAGGAAAGTATGCCTTGTCTCAGCTGGGTTTTTTTTTTCAAGAGGTATTTATTTATTGCCTGTGCTGGGTTTTCGTTGCTCTGGCTTTTTCTCTAGTTGCAGTGAGCAGGGCTTACTCTTTCGTGTGCATGGGCTTCTTGTTGCAGTGGCTTCTTCTGTTACAGATCACAGGTTCTAGGTACACGGTCTGCAGGAGTTGCAGTACATAGGCTCCGTAGTTATGACACAGAGGCTCAGTTGCCCCACGGCATGTGGGATCTTCCCAGACCAGGGATCAAACTGGTATTCCTTGCATGCAAGGCGTATTCTTAACCATTGGATCACCAGGGTAGCCCTCAGCTGATTTATAATGGAGTTAATAGGTGAAAAGGGCAAAGTGTGGTGTTTGGGTTGCAATTCTGGAAGTTAGGAGTGTTGGGTTGGTTCCTGTCTTCAGGAAGGTTTCTGCTTCCTGTTTAATTTCATTATCTGTTCTTGATGAAATTATTTACCATCCAGATTACAAATGAGAAGGCTAGAATAACTGGAGCCAGGGGGATGGTACACGTCCAGAGTTCATTGGCGAGAAATGAGCAACACAAAGAGTGGCAGTGACTGTGTCCCTGGGGGCACAGTGGCACCAGCTACCTGGATGGCCAGCGTGAAGGGCCATTTTGGTGTTTGCCTCAGCAGTGAGTCGGGGCTTCAGCCAGAGTTCCAGCACCATCCTAGCCCTCCAAACTGAATGACAACTAAGAGTTCCCAGAGTCATACTCTCCACTAGTCATTTTTAAAAGCACATTTGAAATGTATTTCGA